ATATAATATGCAAGACAGCGTCGGGCCGTATTTCTTATAATTGTTGTGTGTGTTCGATTGTACTTATCGATTGATTAAAATAATTTAATTTTTTAATACGATATTTTATTACAATTATTATTTAGGTATAATAACGAGATAAATATAGCTCAATAATATTTCTCCGTGCACGAACGAGTATTTTCTTTTATATTTATTTATAACATCGGATGTAGGTATAATTTAACATAATAATACAATGTGTAATAGTGTAACGGTCTTACGAGATAATATATGTTACATTACCTACATAATATTATCCTGTAAGACTTTTGCTTGAATTTGTTTATCTACTTATTGAAATGTATCTACTTTATACATTCGCAGTGTCTAGGCCCAAAGCCGTGAAACTACTTATCAGGCGATGTGTCTGAAAGTTTCTGCAGTGGAATGGGCGAGTAGTAAGTACTTATATAGTTATTCTCGAGCTATCTATACGACCAGTCCTATCGTGGAACATGGTCGGTGACGAAAGACGACGAAAATAACTCGATGATCTTTGTTAGAGGAATGCACTCTGGCGTATTTGCTGGCCTATTATACACCAACTATATTAAAAGCAATTATCAGGAATAAAATTGTGTAATGAACGGGTCGTGCGGAGAGATGATAGATATGAGTATGCTAACCAAACGGTAAACATTTAGTGGAGAAGACTTAGAGGCAGCCTCACACATAGGTGGAAGGATACGCGGAAAACGGGCCTTGTAAAATGTACACAAGGAACGTGGATATAAGGCAGCGAAAATAAACAACAATAAAAGCTACAAAATAACAAGTATAACATCTACGACTCATATAAAAACATCAAAAACACAATTTTCCTGTCGATAACGGTCGACCAATTTTCTGTAACTACTCATAATTTTATTATGGTAAATACCATGTTTATCTACCGGTAACCGTGATAGTCCTGATAATGATGATTTTTTTTTTTATTAATTTATTAATCTACACTATACATTATCGAACACCTATATTATGTTACATACAAGTAATAATTTTGGGCTATGTAAACAGATAATTTCGGATAAACTGAAAAATAAAACAAAATAAGAATGTGAAACCGTGTCTTCGTGGTTCTATCATGTGATACCATGCCGCGAACCCTAGGAAGAGTTTTATTAGCAGGTTTGTTTAGAATTTAATAAAACATCTTTAGAACATTAGATACCATTAGGTGTAGAAATAAAAGTATGTGACTATATGACAAACGTATGGAAAAATTAAAATATTTCTCGTGAAGTACTGCAACAGAGTGTGATTTCAAAGTTTGATTTAATAAGTTTCTCGGCAGACATTACATCAAACTTTAAATTACATTCTGTAAATAACACTATTTTAACTTTGAAAATATTTGTCATTGTTACGCGACGAGTAGTTGATGTTTCTTGGTTGAAAGTTGATAAGAGAGACAATGAATGAATTTGAGATGTCGTCTACTCCGTTTTATATATTTCGGTAAGTATACCTACCGAAAATCAGATAAACGTTTGAAACGTTAAGAATACGAATACCATTGTTTGGACGAATATACAAAATGTACTAATATTCAGTTAGGCCTTTGATTTTCTGCGAAACTTTTTCAATTAAAATGTTATCAATGTTTTTTTTTTCTTTTTCTTTTCTCCGTTATTTTTTTATTGTTCGCGTATCCCTTATATCAAATTAACTGTTGAACAAAAGCGTCTATAAATGCGAACAAGGTCTACGTGGTGCGTTATTTTAATTAAACGACGTGCACGAAATACTAATTTATTGAAAACACGTTCACAACATATTATTATGCGCGACGCACCACAATATTATTGTTATAAACAAAACTGGAAAATAAGTTAAATAAATTTTGACAAATCAAACAGAGTCGTATGGTTATTTAATGAATTGATCGAATCGAAATCGCACCTACGGTTTATCGCACCGATAACGCCAATAATATTTATTGAATCGATTAAAGGCGACAGTATTTTAAAAATTAGGAATATTCAAATGACTATAAAAAACTGAAATTTGACAAAATGTTTTTAAAATTCTATCGTGTTTGGGAAGAACTGTGTACAAGAAACTATACCTATATGTATAAGTATTTAGTGAAATTTCCGGCCTCTGCGATTATTTTTCAGAAACCGTTACCATGGTAAAAATGTTTCTAACATTTCAGGGTTTTCCCAAAAATTAAGAATACTACAAAATAAAAACAACAAAACTTAACGTCCTTATTTGACCAACAAGACAAAACGTTTACTAGAAACCACCTCTAAAGTTAATAGTCGAAATAAGATTTCTGGTAAAAAAGTTTGTTCACATATAAAAAAAAAAAAACCAAAAACACATATCATAATAGAACCGTATCATCACAGTAGAATTCAAAATAAAAATAACCTATTCTTCCTTTTTTCGTGATTAAAAGGCCTCTCAGAACCATTCCACTTCAAACTAAATCCTCTATCATTCCCTATCCAATGCTTTTTCCTTCCAATTCGTACCTTCACTTAGTAATTTCACATCTTTTTTAACTAAGTCTTCGCATCTGTTTTGGGTCTTCCTGCAAGTTGTCTTTTTCCGTATAGATTTCATTCAATCATTACTTTTATTAATTCGCTTTGACTCATACAATTATGTCCTACCCAATAGAGTCTTCGCTTTTTTATCCCATCAGTAATGGTTGTACTCTAGAACAACAACTCGAGCCCTGCATTTATTCTCCTTCTCCATTCTTCGCTTCAATTTTCTTTTCCAATATTACAAATTTTTTCTCGTCTAATTTTCTTAGAAGCCATGCTTCCGCTCCATACAGTATTACCAGGCGAATTAGGGTGATACATAATTGCTTTTTTAGTTCTTTAAATAATTATCGGGATCCCAATATCTTTAGTAACCCATAGTAACACTTATTACCCTTTCTGTGTTCTAGTCATAACTTCTCTGGCTATTACATTATGCTCTGTTATTATTGTTTCGAAATATTTTAATTGTTCAACTCTGTTGAAGTTATATTTGCCGGTATTTAACGTAGTAAATATGTGGAAACGATTCCCTTTTTTTAGTAATCATATATGCCTATTTTTCTTCGGTACACTATAAACTTACTTACGCTGCAGCTTTTTCTAATCTGCAACGTAATTCTTATATCCTAATGGATGATTCTTGTAATTTAAAATCTTGTTGATTCATCTCACGTATCACTTTTTTTAATACCAGGTAGGTACAAGATAGGTGATAGGGCATCACCTTATCTTAAGCCCAATTTTATCGGGACAAGGTCCGATATTTGGACGTCTGCCTTAAATTTTCTGAAAAGAAATTTTTTTCTAGTCGATGCAATAAAGAGGTAGTTTATTGATTGTCCAGTGGATTTCCAAAAGAATTCGAAAAAACCTAAAAGAAAATTATAGGTAAAACAGCAAATATTTACGGCACACCCCTTGTCTTTACCATTAGTATTGTTTTTAATTTTTGTTCACGATGTTTTCCACCAAAAAATATTAATCCAATCGAAAAATGACAAGAGATTGATTTTGTTCCTTTAAAATATGGCCACTAACAGGTAAGTAATGTTTTTTTTTTTTTTTTTATATTTAAAATAATTCTCATAATAATTGGGAAAAATCAAAACAGACGAAAAATATGATTTTTTTCAAATTACAGCACGATTTCATTATTTATGTTTTCGACCATAAATATTGCTCTAATAGAAAAACAGTAAGAGACTTTTTTTGTTGCATTTTATAATAATAATAAAAAAGACGTCCTAGGATAATGGGGACGGATGCAGCCACTGTTATAGGTAATTTAATATATGCCTGTAAGCAACGATATAAATCATTGCTTAAGAAAAAACGATTCTGAGCGGAGTTCAGTTGATAGTGATGCTTTGTCAACAATATATATGCTATATTAAAGTAAAATAATTAAATATACTAAATATATTGTCTTTGATAATATTTGTGTAATGTTGTTCCGATTTCCTCGGTTTCCTACGATTTTCCCGGCTGTTCACAATTGCTGAGAAAACTCCGGAGAAAATTGAAAAACGACCTTTTTAAAGTACCTCCCTAGTGAAATTTCTTTTTAGAAAAATTGGCTTTATATTAAGTTGGAGCAAAACTGCTGGTAGAAAAGTTGTCCACAGAAAAAAAAAAATAAACATCTTTGTAAAACCACAAGCTTCATCACTTCACTCAGAATTTAATATTGGATCAAAAACTTTTGGACGGATTTCGAAAACTGAAATACAACAATACGTTATTGAATAGAAACTACGCTACAAGTCGCGGTAGTCTACAATGACGAATTCGTTCAATTATTTACATACCCGCTGCAAGTACACACTACGCGTGTTGGGCCATGATAAATTACTACAAACTGTACAGGTTTTAATAGGCAAACGTTAAAAAAACACAACATTTTTTTTTGTTTTCTGTTTGTTTACTTACGTGTACTCGGGCGTACCTGTCGTCCGACTACTTACGTAGGTACGTACTCAGACGCCACGAACCGTCGAAGAAGAAACGACCACGATCGCGAGAAAAACGCGGGGGCGCCTCGACGCCGTAGCTCTCGGTACGGTACCTATCGCCGCGGTGGTGACCGCACTGCGAATTCACGTGATAACACCTCGGCCGACGCGTTATCGCGGTGTGTATTATCTCGGATTACCAGTTGTAGTTGATAACGGCCGATAACGTTTCCGGCGGACGGTTTTCTTTGGGACCGTAACGCGAACGAACGTTCGAAAAGGAAAAACCCTAAATGAATATTAATAAAGCACGACCCGCGTCGTCGGACGGAGTACATCGAACCATGACCGCGTCGTAACGCCGATAAAAACGCCTCCTGTTGCGCCACTTTTGGGTTGGTGCCCTCTAGTCGATGTCGCATCGGGCCGTGTGACGTACACGTAGTCGTCGCCAAAAGCGATCGCTGTCCGAGCCGACCGGAGCTGACCGACGACCCGGAAAATGGGCAAAGTCGAAAATCACGCCAAAAAGAACTCGGGTAAGTGTCCACAAAATACGGTTCGGTAATGTAATTCAACGTAGGCGCGTACCTGCGCTTCGCCCGGGCAACGGATACCGTTTCGTTGCTCGCAATAATAATAGCCGGGTTCGTCGTACAATAATATGTCAACACGGTGGGTAATTTTGGAATACTCGACGTTCGCATGCACTTGCGCGCCTCGTTTTTGGAAAACTCGTGTGTCGGGAAATTATTATTATTCGACCGTTCGACAAACATTGAACCGTGTGCTGTAAAATGCAAACAAAACCAACCGTACCCTGTGGAAGTACTCGTGTTGATTTAAACAAACTAATAATATTTAATGAACGCCGCCGACAGAATGATTTATTTCACAGTTTAAAACAATCGTTTTATGATACGTATGTTCTATTATTGTACATTATATTTTGTAAAAATAATACCTATACGATTTTTTTTTTTTTTTTTTATTACAAATTTGACGTTATGTACAATCAAATAAATATTTGATAGTATAATTATATTGGGTACCTGTATATTATTAATAATTAATTTGTTTAATAGCACCTCAGAGTTTGTCATTGATTGTTGTACTGTCCAAAAATACTATACAAATTATTTGAACATGCCATGTTTTATAAATGTATACATTGGTATTTTTCAAATTTATGTTTCAATGTTAAAAATTTAATTTATTAAGTAACATAAATTATGTTTTTTTTTTTTTTTGTTAAATAGGTTCTCTATGGGACTTTATCCGAATAGAATTCAAACGTGGTTATTCACTAGAAAATGATGAAAAGGAATTTTCGGATAGACGAGAAAAAGTTTATACTTTTATGAAAATACCCTTAGAAGTGGAAAAATTCATGTTTTATGGTTTTTGTCAGGTATGCATGCCCAATTTTTTATAATATGTACCTATCTAATAAATTACTTTTTATTTATTCACAAAATTCGACTCAGTCAAAATATGATTATGTATTAATTTTAGTGCGCAGATTCATTCCTTTTTGTCTATACATTCCTCCCATTGCGAGCATTATTCGCATTGAAATCATTAATTTGTCGTTCTATATACAAATTCAAGTAAGTATAATAATTAAACATATTCATAGATATTTTAAATTTCAACAGAATTGTTTTAGGGGAAAACGTAAAAGTAATCTTCTGTCTGCAGCAGAATCGTGTGACTTGTTAAAGATAGCTGTACTGATATCATGTTCGATGATGTTAATGCCCGTGGATACGTCAATAATGTATCATGTAATTAAGAGCCAATCGGTTATCAAACTGTATATATTCTTTAATATGTTAGAGGTGATTATTTTAGTTTTTACTAATATCCATTAGGTACCTTATGTAGGCATTTTTTTGTTAACAATAAAAAAAAACATGGAATGTTTAATATGTTAATACTTGTTACCTAAAATTGTTTTTTTATGATGAAAGGTCGGCGACAGATTATTTTCATCTTTCGGCCAAGATATTTTGGATGCATTGTTTTGGACCGCTACCGAACCAAAAAGTAGTCGAAGAGACCATTTTGGCGTTATACCACATTATATAATTGCAGTCTTTTATGTCCGTATCCTTTATAAAAAACAAACTAATTATTTAAATATGATAAAGTTTATATATATATAACATTGATAATTTAAAAAAAAAAAAATCAAAACAATGAACATTAGTAATACTCCTTGACCTACAAAATAATTTCAGTTTTACATAGCATACTTGTATTATGCCAAGCTACAACATTGAATGTTGCCATTAACTCCAGTCATAAAGCTTTGTTGGCCATTATGATGTCCAATAATGTATGAGTAATTTCCCCCATATTTTATTGATTTTTACCCAGCTATAATAATAACATTTTTATCAGTTTGTAGAACTAAAAGGAAGTGTTTTCAAAAAATTTGACAAAACTAACTTATTCCAGCTGGCATGCAGTGATGTTCGCGAACGTTTCCATTTGTTCATATTATTATTAATAGTGGTAGTACAAACAATGAAAGAATATCAATGGACTATTGGTAAGTGCATAACTGAGATAGCCATGAATTTGATAGAAAAAAATACCTAACTTATGTGATATTAACATTATTTTTGTTTGTAATAAAATTAAACTTCAGTTTTGTGTGATAGTCTAAATTAAACCAAAAAGCTGACACTGGGGACAGATATGCCACTGTTGTAGGTGGGTAGTTAGGAAGGTAGGATACACAAAATTATTTAATGTTTTGTTTATAATCAACAATAAACTATTATTTAAAAAAAAAGATTCGTAGCGAAGTTATCTATGTTTTGAAAGGCCTTAATATTTACAATTTTCATCAAGTGATTAATTGATAAAAATACATTACACTCAATGACTTTTTTTTATTTTACCACTAAGTACAATCTATAATGAAACTTTTGTTAATTTCTATAGCATTACTATTTAGTCGGACAATTTTATCATTGGAGAAAATCAAAAACTTACCTCTATAATGCACCAACTAAATGAAATTTCCTTTCAGAAAAGATACTACACTTGATATATCAAAGCAAGTTTTCTCTTTAAAAAGTTCTTTTGGCAGAAAAAAAAGGCTAGATTTAGTTATGTTCACTCTTCTTTTTTTAAATGACTCGCATCACTTATAGTAAAATCTGAAAATCAAGCGTAAAATTACTTAGGGTGTTATTGACTTTATTTTTTCGTTCGTACTAATAATAACTCAAGCTGTCTTGACCCAGCATTGTATTGTAAATTTGTAACAACTCAACCTATAAACCAATTAGAAACATATATTATTCATAAAGAAATAACATTTTTCATTTTTACCTTTTTTTAATTTTGAAAAATCCTTTAGTGTAGGTCTTTACATCCTAAAATGAAACTATTGACCAAATTTCATATTTATAGCTCCAGCAGTGGCTTGGCAATAATGAATCAGTCAGTTAGTTAGAATATGTTATTTTATGTTATATTATACATATAGATTTGGTTGTTTTTTTTTTTTTTTTTTGTTAAACCAATTATAATTTGTAACAAATTAGTATTACCCGCAGCTTTACATTATTATTATCATTTTGGATTGCATTATATATTTATTTACAAGTGATTAATTTTAAATTTATTTTGTTTAGAATCATTTTTGGACTTGATGCTTGACTGTGCATATGTAATGATATCAGAAATGTTAATTGACTGGACAAAACATGCGTTCATTACAAGGTTCAATGAAATACACTTGTCTGTGTACAGTGACTATGTGTTGAGCTTTGCTTATGACACTGCACAGTCTCGTCATAATAAGGTTAGTTTGTAATTAATATTTAATTGTAGATAAGTTATAGAATTTTTTTTGTTTTAGGCATTTGCTGACCACTCAGATTTAGTAGCAAGGCGAATGGGTTTCATTCCAATACCATTAGGTGTAGTTATGATTAAAGTACTTACTAGATGTGTATTTATCGATGGACGATTCGCTTCTATAATTCTCTTATTATTTGCATTTATATGTCTAATCACTGTGAAAATTGTTAATCTTGTGTATATACTAGGAAAAGCTTGCAAGTTAATAGATTTTCATAAAATGGTAAATGACCTTTCAATTCACATCTCAAATTAGTTAATAATATTTTACTATATAATTTTATTTTTAGTCTTTAATGAAAAGTCATCACATTATAAATGGCGTAAGTTGTCAAGATATGGCGACTAGTCCAATGAGACCACAATTCCGTAAAAAGCAACCTTGGAATGATAACAAAGAAAATAAACCTTCACCTCTTATTGAAGTACCACCACTTGGACCTACTCCAATGTTCGCCAATAGCAATGTTCGTATGCATTAACATTGTATAACTAATATTTAAAAAAATCTGAATTCTGTAATAATAATATGGTCTATATAGGTGAATATAAAGGAGGCGTGCCTTAATACACACATATTGGAAGATATTGTTGAAACAGATTTGACTCACAGTGACACTGATCTAAACATATCTGCAATACGCGACAGTGATACTCTGAGTACAAAATCGGCCTGAACAATTTTATTAAAATACATAATTTTATTTTCTTATGATATTTTTTTATGAGACTGTTAAAGTGAATTTTATTATATTTATAAATAAACTATATTGTTAACCTACTGAGCAATTCCTATAACATAATTTTTTGTATATTATGTTATAAAAAATATTACTACAATGTTATGATATGGTTTCCATAGCAACTTGTGTGTTGTGTTACACATTTTTGATGCCAGATGGTTTTTTTTTTTATTAAGTTGAATATTTTTATTATTATTGTTATTATTTGTTTGTTTATAAAAAAAAATAATGTTGAAAATTGCTGATGGTAACTACACTTCGGTCATTTACACATTGGTAAATATTTAATATAATAAAACTTATTTGTTAAAACAGAAAATAGCTGGTTGCATTTTTTCTTTACTATATAAAAAATAATATACAGTTTGTGGCGTGTTGTGATTTAGATCAAAGAAAAACAGTATAGTGATGTTATTCAAATCATTAACAACATGTCGGACAGCAAGAAAAATGTAAATTTTTTATATATATATCATATCATATGCATATTAACTGTATATAAATTTTTTATGGGTTCAGACAAGACCTGGTTTATCGTTATTGGCCTATTGCTACTATTATACAGACGATTTTCAAAATGCCTCTATTATTTATGAACAACTAGCTGCACTTTGGCCACAAGAGACTGATTATAAACTGCAGTACGCCCAAACTCTATATTCTGCCGGACGTTATGAAGATGCTCTGAGAGCGGCAAATGCAATCACCAAAGGCGGTTATGAAAACAAGGTATAAGTATTAAGTATTGTATAAGCTTTGGTTTTCATTATAGTTTTATTATTAAATGGGTTGGGATTTTATATCAATTGCTTTTTAAGACAAACCAAAATTTGAAATTTATTTACAATAATTCTAAGATTGCAATATTTTTTTTACTTTTAGTATTTCTTGAACAAGTTTTATATTTTTACCTGTTATCTTTTATGCAAACTTGGGCATATTTTGTGAATTCACAAATCACTTTTAATTTTGAATGCATTTTCCAAAAAACTACGAAGGCAAATTACCCAGAGTGGCCCAACCCTATGAGTTACGGGTATTTTTACCTAAAGCTAAATGCTAAACACTACAACCAGTAAAATTTTTATCAAAATTAAATTATAAATAGTACATTTAGGAAATGTTTGTTAATTTTTGCAAATATTTTTTTATTTGAAAATTTTTTTCTACACTGACATGAAATTATAATGTTGCCTAAAAAGTGTGCTGTAAAAACTTGGAACTTTTTTGCTGTATAAAACCTTTATAAAGATACTTTATTGTACTTTATAAAGTAAAATAAAATAAATAATAAATACAATATAATTAAAAATATGAAATTGTATACTTAAACGAAATATAAAAAACAAATTTCTATCAATAATTGTTTGTGGAAACATTTGTAATTATTAATTCTTTCTGTGTGTGATATCCAAAGATTAATTTTTCGTAAAAAAACCGTTATGTAAGTTTATCACATGATGTTAATATGTTTTCATCTTTACCTTACATTCTTGAATTAAGGTTATTTAAATGTCTACAAATATGAGCTAAGGAAGAGATTCTAAATAATAAGTGTGACGCATAATATAAATATGAATAATGTGTCACTATAGAAAAAAGTATAAGTATTTCTAAAAAATTTCGTGCCAGGTATATAAAAATCCAATTCCGCAGATTTGTCTAATGTTTCTCTTGTAACCTTTAGGTTCGAAAATTAATTGCCGCAATTAGATACGGTATGGAAGACATTGCGGGTGCTAGGTCTTTACTGGAGACCAATTCGGGACTCGCCGACGACCCAGACACGGATATAAACTACGGGTGCCTGCTGTACAAGGTATCCTATCTACCATGTCGATATTATTAATATAATCAATTTCTGAAAATTATTGTTTAAAACAAATATTATCCAATAGGTATATATTATTTTATAGTTTGTATTATATTTCAGGAAAACCGTTATGAAGAAGCGTTACAGAAATTTTTAAACGCCCAAACAATGCTCGGCTACAGGCCACATTTGTCGTACAGTATTGCCTTGTGTTATTACAAGCTGAAGGATTTCACATCGGCGCTAAAACACATCGGTTGTTGAACGATGATTTAATAATTAGGGCAGAGCGAACCGAAGCCCATTCTATTCCCAAGCACAAACGTCGATTTATTAAAGATTCATATTCTTAAAATAAATTTAGTCCAAATTTCTGGAGCCCAAATTTAGTGTCAGTAACATCCTTTGTATCTGGGTACACGTTAGGTACTATTAGGTACATTGATTTACAGCACCTAAAGTAACAAGATACTATGTACTTACATGTATGTAACAAGTATTGCAATACTATTGGTTATTTATCTGAAACATTCTTTTGAATTTCCAACAACCCCTATCCTATTTTCGTTCAATCGTATTCAATTTTGAATGTTTTTTTCGAAAATATATGGATTGAAATGATCTAGATTACCCCTCCTTCAGACGCTTATGGACAAGATACTTCAAAATTAGTATCCATATATTCGATACTAGGTAGTACCTACAAATAAATATACCTATTTTGATTTCGGTGTCATAATGCAAGATACAAGATTCTTAGAGAACTGTATCACGACCCAAGATACAAAACGCAATATTGTAAAAATCTGTCCTGATACCTTGACTTCTTCCTATAGGTTATTACGGCTTTCGAAATCAGCCCTCAAAATAAATTTGCCGCTATCTTTCCCTATTCTCCGCAAAATCTCTCCACTGTATAATCAGTTCCATTTCTTTAACATCTTTTGACACGATTTTCCCATTGTCCTGTATATATTCATAACGTTCTGAAAAATACATATTAATTTGGCTTTTTTGTTGCTGTTGATTGAATATGAATTAGTTCATTCGTGCACATTAGAAAACGTCATAAAATGTTCACGAGAAAACCAGTCAGACGAAGACAGTATCAATAAGGCGTTTTAAACGGCATTGGCCGTGATAAATTTTTGTTTTTTTCTATTTTTAAACTTTAAAATTATCGTTTATATGAAAAACGACTTCGCTTCGCCCTATTTTTGTCTACTGACACGTCGAGCAATAAAAAAAAAAAATATATATATAAATATATTTCCTTCGTTTGCGAATAGGTGACATTATCGACAGGGGCATAAGAGAACACCCCGAACTCGGGATCGGCATGACGACCGAAGGAATTGAAGTCCGTAGCGTCGGTAACACTCTGACACTACACGAATCGGCCCTAGTCGAAGCGTTCAACTTGAAAGCGGCAATTCAATTTGAAAAGAACGACAGTAAGTGGGTATACTGCAAACTCAGCTGAGTTAATTAGTACTTAATTAGTTCGATTCGAACAGTAATTAAAATATAGAACGCTGTAGGTTACGAAGTTACGATACAAACAAAACGAATAATCCGCCGCCCCTCTGTGGTTTTTCAGTCGATAGTGCGAGGGAAGCGTTGACTGACATGCCACCCAGATGGGAAGAAGAATTGGATTCGGTCACGTTGCACAATCAGGCATTGTGTTCAATGGAAATGTCGCCTACCCAAGGATTTCACAAGCTACAATTTCTGATGCAGCAGTCCACGTATCCCCAAGAAACGCTCCGGAACCTATTGATTCTGTACTGCAAACACGGATACCACGATTTAGCTTCTGACGTCGTGTCGACGTATTCGCCGGTCAAAGACAAATATCTATCGAACGTACGAAATATTATTAAAATATAAGGAGCACGAGCTTTGTCCAACTAAGTGTATAATAATCGCGCATCTACAGGATACCTATCCAATATTGTTTATTTTCAGTATATTCGCGAATTCGTGGACGCGGTCATCGCACAACAAACGTCGCCCGACGAAGCGTACCGCAAATTGGACAACATGGCGAACAAGTTGGCCGATTCGTTGCGTAAATCCACCCGGTCCGTGCAAGAGTCCAGAGAAGCTAGAGACGACAAAAGAGCCAAAATGGCTTTACTCGATTACGAAAACACTCTTGAAAAGTAAATTAACAGGCTGCCTATAATTATACACGCGTTCATATTTTATTGTTTCAACGAACGTGTTTAGAATATACAGTTTTTCGTCGCAGGTTCATACCGGTTACAATGGCGCAAGCGAAAATCTACTGGGACCTGGAGAACTACGCTCAAGCGGAAACGATATTTTACAAGTCCGTTGAATTTTGCAACGAAAACGATACGTGGCGGTTGCATGTGGCCCACGTGTTGTTCATGCAAGAAAAATTCAAAGAGGCGATCGCATTTTACGAACCGATCGTGAAAAAAAATTTCAACAACGTAATACGCTACAGTTACTTACTACCCCTACCTATAATAAAGCAAAACCGACGGTTGATAAATCCGCGATCGATTCGTTTATAAATCTTGTTTACAGATCTTGTCGGTGAGCGCCATCGTATTGGCCAATCTGTGCGTGTCTCACATAATGACGGCGCAAAACGAAGAAGCCGAGGAGCTAATGAGAAAAATCGAAAAGGAAGAGGAGCGACTATACTATCAAGAGCCGGAAAAAAAAGTTTTCCACCTGTGCATTGTCAACCTGGTCATTGGGTAAAATTAATAGTTTATAATCAATATACGCATTTACACCTAGTGTTTTGCGACGTAACTATGGGAATATGAATTTTTACAGCACTTTGTACTGCTCGAAAGGAAATTATGAATTCGGGATTTCAAGAGTAATCAAAAGTTTAGAACCGTATAACAAAAAGCTCGGAATGGATACATGGTAAATACGTAAACTATACCTAATACGTAATTCGTTACTTGTTATCAATGTGGCCATATAGGTAGGTAACTAATATAGTTTTTTTTTAGTCTGTCAGTGTGTATATTTTAATTTTAAATAATTATTGGCGTCCTCGACATTATTGTGCGAATCAAAATACCTATTCTCCAAAAGGAAATGATCTGGTATTATGTTGTTGGCCAAAAATTAGAGTTGGTGATTTTTAAATATAGTGTTGACACTTTGATAGCGGTAGTTTACCACTTGTTCAGTGCCTTTAACTTTTCAATAAAACTGCACCACCCCGTGTTATCGTCCAAACAAAATAATATTTATAATAATATCAATGCTGTTTCAGAACCAATAAAAACGATATGTTCGGGTTTCAGGTTTTACGCCAAACGGTGTATGCTGTCGTTGATTGAAAATATGACTAAACACGTTATCGTCATGCGAGATTCGTTTTACAACGAATGTCTGGTGTTTCTCAACCAATGTGAATGTAAGTCTAAATACGGGTTTCCACTTGGAAATATTTACGAACTGGCGCGAATATGAAATTAGTATCAAATCCATATCGTTTGGCTGAACTATTATATCAGTGTGCGAATTAATTTGTTTTTAGTTCACGGTAAAGAAGTGGCAACGATGCCTGACGAAGAAGAACCGACCGGTAAAAAAGAACTGAACAATGTTACCTGCGAAGCAAGGCTTTTGAAGTCCCTCATCCTCCGACAGTTGGAGTATTAAAACGTAATTTTAATTATTTTTTATTATTATTATGTTGGGCAGCGTGTATAAAATTGTTGAATTGTACTTAACTATTATGTCAGTCACATTTTTTTATTACTTTCACCCTAAAAACCATTTTATATCACATATTATTGTAACAGTATACACACAATTTGAATATCGTGGGGTAAAATTTTTATTTGTGTGGCAATATACATGAACTTTTTTTAAAAAAAATAAACGTAAATTAGGTGCATTTTATTTTTTTCTGTATTTAGAAGTTCTTAAAACTGGATTATTTACAACACTATTATCAAATTCGACTAACGTTTCCTCTCAGTGGTTTAAATAAAAGTATAAGCAATTATTGTATTATATAGATATTAATATTTCTAAAAATTGACAATTTTAATATCTAATGTGGTGATGGCTGACGACTGTATAGTGTACCTACGTCACTTATCACAAACAACTAAAAATGATGAGATTAATTCTGTATGTGATTTACGTTAATTCAAAGACACCAAAGATGAAAATGTATACGATTTTGAACAATTAACTACTTCGACTAAGTGTACAGTGATTTCATCTTCGAAATGTGAACACTCATTCAGCTGAATGATTGAAATCGTATCCCTTAAAAGAAATTATTTATGAACCATACATATTTCTCAGTGTGTGTGATCAATTGTGTTGATCAGTCAATTGACAAGATAAACACAAACAAATGGTTTGAATTATGGCTTATAAAGAAGCAGCAGAGGAAAAAAATTGTCTTGAAAGAAAACAGATTGCCTAAGAAAATGCAATCAATTCTTTATAGAATTTAATTAAAGAATAATATTTATTTCTTAAATAAACATTTTTTTTTTTTTTTGGTTTTATCTGACACAAATATGGTTAACTACCGGCATACACAACTTCCACATCAACCTATCCTTTTATTTTATACTCTTTTTTTTTCATAAATTGCAAAATGAGTAGGTATCTTAGTCCCCACAGGGTTAATGTAACATTTATCGAGAACTATTTTACCTATTTTTATAAAAAAATTGTTTGTTCAAATATTTAAAAAAAAAAAAAACTACGAAACACTGTAATGCCAACAAGTCAACTGGATGGGAAATTCGACTCTACTGAAAGAGCTCTGTTGCTCGTGTGTTTTTTTTTTCTTAAATGTATTTTAATGTTGAAATACATTATATTAATGCAATTATAATGTATTATACATAATACATTATATGTTTCATATTTATACGTTGTATACATATATAAATATGTATTGTATATATATATATATATATATATGTATGTATGTATTATTTATTAATGTTTTAATATCTTTCTTTATAATAATAATAAAAAAAATAAGTAGCTGATGATAATGCATCCATGTATGGCGCTGGTCAATAGTAAATAATATTTTTATTATTCACAGACAAACCATACACAGACAAGATTATATAATAATAAAATTAAAGAATATTAGAAAATAATATAACAAATATCTGATTAGGCATATTATTATAATACCCTATACCATAACATTATATTATTATGACGTGGCAAAATTTGTATGATGATAATAATAATAATAATAATAATAATAATAATAATAATAATAATAATTTAGTTACATGCATATAGATAAAACATAATAATATTATTATGCATACCTATAAACGTCACATGTACAGTATGTATATGTGTGTGTATAGAAAATATCGAGTAAAAAAAAAAAATATATATATATATATAATTTATAAACATAAAGACATAATAAGGTGTTATATAATAATAATAATGTATTAGATTATAAACTCTTTCGTAACTGATTAAAAAAAAAAAAAAAAACGCGGACGTTTATTTTTATTTATAAAATAAAATAATTATTTAATAAAAAAATATAGTTAAAAATGTTTAATAGGAAATTATACGTTGTTCTATAATAGACGATATATATATATCTATTATTAATTAATATTTAAATAGGGATTAGTCTTGTTAATCGAATTAACTTTTAAGTTTTCCCTTAACGCATTATATAATATTAAAGAATAGTAAAATATTATTGTGAATAAAAAAATATATTATTGTGTGTTTCGGTGACGAATTTTACTGCGCGCGGTCGTTCCTCGGCGAAATGCCCGCCGGACACAAGAATACGATAGTATTAATGAGACGACCGACAGTCCCGGTCGCGAACTTCCCGGTGATAATTTCGGTTGGGGAGGGGAGGCTACAAAAACGATAAATCCGTTTTACGACAAAAAACGAGTGCAACAAACGAACCCAAAAAAATATGAAATTAAAACGTTACGCGCCTAACCGCGCTCCGATCTCGTGTGGCTATAATAAAACGAACCTGATTAAACAAATAAACAATAATAATAATTTTAGTATAATATTAATATATCATGTAATGTTACGAGCACTTAGTTTAAAAATATTAATATCACCTACGGGCCTCTCATTCATCATTTTTATTTATTACTTTTTTTTTTTTTTTTTCATTTAACCAGAGCAAACGGCGAATGTTTTTTTTTCCAGAGATAAACCGAACGAATTGATAAAAATAATTAAGTATTAAAATTTACACACGTAAAACCGCATAGATAAAATAATTAATTTTGTAATTTTTTCAATATTATACGAATATTTTTTAAAACAAAAACCGAGTAAAGTTAAAAAGTAATATTAATAGTAACGCGAACATTCAAAACGAAGGTTTGGCCGCTTGAGGAGTGTTGTGGAACCGCCGGTAGAACGTCTGCACGTATGTGAACACACACTTCCAATCGGGTTTCCGCATGACGACCATGTCCTCAACATCCAGCAGAGGTGCTATACCGGCTTCGTCCCTTAAAAAACAAATTTAACTTTAAACGAAATTCAAATTCACAGAGAGATCACGAGAGGGTCTTCGTTCCCCCCCCCCCCCGAACAATTGCACGCAATAATAAGAACAGAAATTATTTCACACTGTAGAACTCTACAATGCTCAGGCGCATGGATAATTACATAATATACAAATCGTAAAATGAGTAAATATTCTTCTTTTAAAATTTAAAAAGTATTTAGATTTTAAAAAAATTATTATTAGTTTGTTATTATTGTAATTAACATCGACTTACTCGGCCACTTTGAATGCAATTTCGAAGTTTTCTCTGCGGTTTTCGGGTTTTAATTTGTCATAGTCGAATGCTTCGGGGTAAAAATGATGGATGAGGGCGCAGAACGCAAGGCCGTCGCTCCAACTCGTCGAGAAATTAGTTATTTGGAGGTTCTACGCAAATACAATATTAATATTAATACAACTTCTCGTATCTCGTATACAACACGGCCGTGCCACAATAACACCGGTTTAAAAATTAAAATATCGTACAGATTAAACTCAATAAAAGCGTATAAAACAATTATATAGTAGGTACGTATAAAAAACTAGAATTGGCATTCGTTAAAAGGGACCTATAATGTCTGTTTTCAATAAATGTATCACACATGTACCTATTGTAAAACAACTAAGTAGTCGACTTTGTGTGTAAATCTGAAGCTTGACAGATATAATACCAAAGAGGAAAATATTTTGTATTTTAACCAATGAAATATTTGTTAATACCATGAATTGTGTGATAGCATGACAAATATTTGAAATTCATCACATATTGTTAAATTATTCATGGTATTATTATACTAAAGCTCACTATCTATTTCACGTATACATGGTTTCACGTATTAACGTGAAATTAACATTCGTTTCTATAAAACTGAATTTGATAAATCCGTGTGCACGTGTACACGTGTATTTACGTACTCACGTATTTTAATATAAACAAGTATACCGATTCCTCACACATAATATAATAGTAGATAACAATAATCAGTTTATCTACTCGAAATTGACGGTACGTAAAGGCCGGTCATGCCCTATTTATATTCGCACCATAGTACTTTTTTGTTTGTTTTATAGGTACTACACAACGATACATGAATACGTGTATTACTTGAATACGATCTCTTATAAAAAATGTCTATTCCACTAATTTATACAGGTACCTTGTATACATATAATATTCACCCAAACAGCGGTTAATAATAATTAAAGTTAATATGGGGGAAAAAAAAAAGAAAGAAAGAAGGAAAGAAAGTAACATGCATTAGTGAGTATCTAAGTATATAAGTAATGTCCAGAGGGACGAAATCGCATACTGTTAGCTATAATATTATTTATACAGCACATCGTCGAGACTAAACACAAAAATCTATATAAGTATAAAGTACCCAGTTAAACGAAAACAAAAAGTACCTTATATTCCTTGGTCTGAGCTTTAACCCAGTTGAGTAGGCGATCTTTGATTGTCGAAGCGCTCCGCACCAGGGCGGGTTCGGTGAATTTATAGCAAGGGCGCGATTGTGAGCTATAAGCAAAACGCCCCGAATATACGTTACCATTTAAAATATTATTTATGTTAATTGTATAGAAGGAATTCTTTCATCAAGCATCACATGCTGAAGTTAACAAAAAAAAAAAAATAGTTATTCTTTCGGTATAGGTACGTCATCCCTTCTGTAAAAACACACTGACAGTCTACACATTTATTTATTTATGTCGAATAGAATAATAATGTTCGTACGTTTTAAATTCGAGGGTAAATTGTATATTATTATAAACGGGATGATTCACAAAGCGAGCTCACCCCATTTTTCTTTTCAGTTAAATTTTGCATACATTCCTATGTTTGGGATTTTTAAATACAGTTAAAGCCGATGTATTTTCGGATGCTTAGATTTTTCATTACATAACACGAAACTTCATTACGCTCTATTCCTACATAAACTTAAAAGTGAAATATCTCGTCAACGAGTTGACAAAAATCAAAGATTTTAACACTGAAATTTAATTAAAGTAATATTCCGTCTATTTATGGAGTTTTTAATACAGGTTCTCATTTGAAAAACCAAAGTTGATATCACCACAGGATACACCTTAAATGTTGTGAAAAATCTAAGGATTCAAAAATATCGGCTTTAACTACGCTTAAAAATTCCAAAAAACTGAGTTTGAAGAATATATACAAAATTTAAAAAAAAAAATGGGATGAGCGCGCTTAGTAAATCACCCTGTATTATAGGTACTAATTTATAATTATACTGTATAGAGTTATGAAAACGACGAACTATTAAAAATCTAATATATATTGTTACATAAAAAAGTTTTATAATTTTGGAAAAATAACGCGAAAACAAAGTTTAAAATAAAAATCTATTAATGTCTTTAAATTGAACAGATACAAAAAAAAACAACCTAGTTAATATTATCACTCGTAATCTTGGCTGTTATGCCAATATTACCTTCTTGCTCTACTAAACACAATTCCTTATCCCACATCTCATCAAAAAAACTTCTAGCAGAATTAGCTTATTAAACTCGCCAATGATAATTCTCTGTTCCGGAACGTCCAAATTATACGATTTCTCTATGCGAATTAGTTTTAAGTTTAGATTAAGAAATAAATTGTATTTTTGTTTCTGACCCGGGTAGGTATATATTGGTATACCAAATAATTATGGGACCCTCATACAGCTTCTGGTTTCTTCCGAATCGAGCACGTTTCTTGTCATTTGTCGACCATTCACCGCATGACTACTCAATCGTGCTCAACGAACCAAGTCTTACATCAATGGTTGACAGAAGAATGGTTATCAACCTAGGTCTTTATAGAAAAACTTTTCGACTGTTCAGCGGATATAATATCTCTCCTGTCTTGTACCACAGCATTCCCTTCGC